ATTTAGGATCCACAGATAACAAGGATGTGCATAGAGCACTAGAGATTTGGGAACATGGATTTATTCTCTTTATGAGATGAGTACTCAATATCCCCATCGATATGTGAAGGTAGAAATCAACCACCGCAAATCCTAAGGGAAATGTTTTTTATAAATCTACTTCCTGCATGCCTTCACTATCAAATCAGCAACTATGAAATAGACTCTTTCACCATATTTTGACATGAAGAAGGAATTAGACTGCAAAACTGATGTCCTGGAATCCTAACAAATGTTGTAAACTGAGTGTGAGACAACAGATCAGACAAAAAAGGTCTTCTCTTATTGGCCTGCCACCTACCTAGCCTGTCCTCAGAATCAAAACACTGTTTTCACTATAAATTTCTCTGTACATGATCAAATATAAGTCCAAGAGCAGCAGGTGACATCATAATATAACTATGTCCTCCTGATGTTCTCCAGCCTGAAATATTTTCAAACAGCATATTATCTTTTAAATCATGCAAATCACCTCATCTGATAGTCACATTACTTGCTAATAGCTTTCTTCAGGCTACGCTTTGCAAACAAGCAAAATAGGGATTTCTCTGGTGGTTCAGTGGTTAAGAATCTGCTACCATTGCCTAGGGCACTGGTCTGATCCCTGGTCTGGGAACTAAGCTCTTTTTTTTTTTTGGTAACAAATTCAATAAAGATTTTATTTTATTTTTCATAAATTTTTAAATTTTAATTGGAGGCTAATTACTTTACAATATTGTATTGTTTTTGCTGTACATTGACTTGAATCCTCCATGGGTGTACACGTGTTCCCCATCCTGAACCCCCCTCCCACCTCCCTCCCCATCCCATCCCTCTGGGTCATCCCAGTGCACCAGCCCTGAGCACCCTCATGCATCGAACCTGGACTGGTGATCTATTTCATATATGATAATATATATGTTTCAGTGCTATTCTCCCAAATCATCCTGCCCTCGCCCTCTCCCACAGAGTCCAAATGACTGTTCTATACATCTGTGTCTCTTTTTCTGTCTCACATATAGGGTTATCGTTACCATCTTTCTAAATTCCATATATATGCATTAGTATACTATATTGGTATTTTCCTTTCTGGCTTACTTGGGAACTAAGCTCTTGCATGCTGTGCATCAGGGCCAAAAAAATAAATAAATAAAAATAAATTTTAAAATAAGCAAAATAAAGTTATAGAAAACAGTTTAAAATATACAAGTGGAGAAGGCAGTCACTTGTGTTCCTATTCTTTCCAGAGTAAAAGGATATTTGTGGAGGTCTGTTCTATTCTGATCAATTAATTAGTTTAAAATCCTGATGCACAACATGAACTGTGAGGATAATAGCTAGCATTATTTTTAGAACTTGATATATGGCAACTATTGTTCTAAAACATTTTTGCATCTGTTATCTACTTAATTTTCATCATTACTCTGTGAGAAGTGGCGCCCTGTTTACACCCACTTAACCTAAGAGAACATGAGGCCTGGTTGACTGAAAATCACAAGCCAAGGCAGTCTGGTTTCAGAGTGGATGCTCTCAGCTGCAGGAATGGATGTGCAGGCTCTGTGAGGTCTGAAGTCCTTGTTTACAAAATTATTTCCTATTATTCTAGTATTTTATTCTCTAAAATTGAGAGAGCTGTCTTAAGAAATCTGTGTTCCTATTGGGTTTTTAGACTATCTGAGAAGTATAGAGCTATAGCTTGACATATTCAAGGCCCAGAATCCATGTGGATATGACATGAGGATGCTGTCTCTCTGCAAATTCTCGCTTTGAGAGCTTCCACATTTATAATCAAGCATACACCAGAATGCAGCCTGTCTTTTGAATTGGGCTGTTGCAAACACAAGTATATAACACAGTCAGACCTCATTGGGGCCATCCTTTGCTGGTTGGGTACATTGGCAGTGAGAGATCTGAAGACATATACTTGGCAGCGACTTCAAAATGCCCAGTTGGTCCCAGAATGTTAACATGCTCATTATGTGCATTTATTGTGCCCAGTCTCCCCACTGTCCAAATCTCCCCCGAGTCCCCAATCAAGAAGAAGTATTGAGAGGAATACTGCTAATATGACGTGACTGAGGACAATACAGAGTGACATGACCGGAGGTGATGAAGAGAACACTTAGGGTTTTCTGACTAGCCCCTCCCCCATCCCTGCCACACATCTTAATGCATACTAACATCCCTGCCTTGGCAGTCCCAGACAGAAAAGCCACAAGGTATTTATGAAGCTGCATCCATCAACAACATCAATGGTCCACCAGAAATGCTGTCAGCTCACAGATTGACTTGTGCCCACTGTCTGTGTATACCACTCACTTCCCCACTTCACTTCTAACTCTGCTTCCAGGGGCCAGCAAGACATCTCCCCAGAGCCCCTACATCTTCACAAAGACAGGGATGCAGGATAGGAAGTCACCATTTGCTTCATTAAGAGCAAAAAGCGGCAAAAAGAGGAACACATTGGATTCCAATCTGGGACCAGGATATAGAGAAAATAAACAAAAATAAACAAAATCTGTACATCTGTGGTTGCTGAAGAAATCTTCCAAAACAGAAGTATACTCATTCCTGACCCCATAACACAAAATTTCAGGGCCTGATTTTAAGTAGGTGCTTTTTTTATGTTCAGAACAGTTCACACTTTATATGATGCCTGGGCTTATTGCAAATACAAGGATATAGCTGAATAACACACTAGTGTCCCAAACATTAGAATTCCCAACTACACCACTGAATATATCCAGAGAGTGATTCCAAATTTTCTCATGTGAACTTTTGATTGACCTAGATGTTAGGAAAGTGTCTTACGATTTTTAAAAATATGTCCTCATCATTAAATGGGAAGCACTATCTTTTTCAGAAAGCATTCTGTAGGTACTGATTTAAATGTTTCACTCAAAATTCATGGACAAAGTTGCATATCCAGCATTAAAACCAAATTGCACATAATTTAATCTTTCTTTAAGATTAAGAAGCTTATTTTGAGACCTCCTTGAAATTCAGGAATTTCATTATGATTTCAACTTGTATTGCATGAAAATAAATGTGAACATAGCAACTGGCAGATGACCCGAGAATTGTGTCCCACTGGGCAGTGTGCATCCTGGCCATTTAGGGAAAGTACTCCTCAAGGGTCTTCTCACTTTGGAAGTGAAAAAGAGAACACACTATAAACTCTTTGACTTCAGGGAGTCAAGCCAGCAAGAAGAATTTCCATTCAACATATACCATTACTTGCCTCATATACACTATACAAATATATTCAGAAAACCAAGATCAAGGCCAGTCTGAATCTTAAATCCCATGGTGGTAATCTGGGATAAGACAGGGTTTCTTTTTAGGCTGATGAATGAGAATATTTTTTCTCCTTAAAGAGAAAATCATTATTATCTCTGAGGAGAGACATAAAGGCAAAAAACACATAATGTAATGAGCTGAAAATGGATTCTCATTTCTAACAAAACCTGCTGGGTCAATGGAATTACTGTAGAACTAGTGCTGTGAAATTTGGTTATAAAAGAATAAAGAAACCAATAAGATAAAGATATCACATTAATGGAAGGGGAATAATTATTAAATTCCTCTCCCTTTTGACATTTCCTCTGACAATTAGTATTTCCATCCTCATCAGATGATGTAAATGCTAGGCAAATTTCCAAAGGAATTTAGTCATAAGATATGTTTTGAGGGAAAGGAGGCAGGGAAGAAGGGAAAGAGAGAAAAAGAGAAAGTAAAGAAGAAAGTCTTTTTTAAAAAAAATCATCTTTAAAAGAGCTTCCAGGACTGGAATTAAGTATGGCATTAATTTTTTTCCACCAAGTCTTAGTCTTGGCAGGTTTCTGCTAAATGCAGGAATTTCATGGATGCAGGAACTGGTGATGGAAAATGCATTATTATACACAACAATTGTTGTACTTGAGAGGAACTATATGGGAAAAATAACACCCTAGAATAAATACAAATGAAATTCATGTATCAAAACCAATACTGTGAAAAAAGTTTAAATGTTTCTTGCATTTATATCTAGTCATTAACCTAAATGCAGATTTTAGTTCAAGCTACACTTCTGCCTCATGGTCAGAAGGCCTGAAAACCTGTGACGTGGAAAATTGGCAGGATAAAGAATATTGAGTTGGCCTCCATGGAAAAGCAAAATTTGGCAGCCATAACCTCCTCCTTGGGCAACTCCCCCCACCACCAGCCTCCTCAAATTTTCCTCCCTAGCTCACTCTTATCCCAGGAAAGAGGCCAAGGGAAGGCCATATATGAGCTCAAACTGCAAACCAGTGTCACCCTGACCATTCACCAAGGGATCTTCCTCCTTGAACTTGAATCCCATGGTTCGAGTGAGGCCCCCCAAAAGTCCCAACTCTAGACTCACCCTCAGAGAGCACAGAGGCTAGAGGAGCCCGTACCTCCGGACTTTGGTTTCCTTCTCCTTTGGAAAAAGAAGTGGAGTGAGTCATCTTCTTTACCAGATGTGAAATTGCAATTCACAAATGAAAATGATAATTCCTTTGCAGAAATCCCTAAAGTCTATTCCCCTCCTCCACCCCTACTCCCATCCTATTTTAATCCCACATTTGGTCTGGTTGCCTCAAGCAAAGTAGACATTTTCTCAATGTTTTATTTACCTAGCAAACAAAACCCAGGGACTTCTCCAAAATTATTTCTCCACCTGGGTAGATCCTAAAGATCGAACTCACCCCGGGGGCCCGCCTCTCTCCCTCCTGGGGCTCCTCCCAAACTCAGGCTCCATTAAGCAGCCCAGTTGATGGAGAATATTTCCCTTCCAGCCTCATTTCCAACCTCTCCCAAACTCTGCAGCTTCAGAGAGCATTCCCCAGGCCCCCTCGCTGGGTTCCCGGACCTTTGCATGAGCCGTTTGGAGTGAGAACCTCCTTCCCAACGTGAATGTTTTTTCCGTTGTGCTGTGCCTGTGTGTGGTGGTTTCACCCTGATCTTTTCTCTCTTTGCAGCTGGTTAATAATCCACTAGCAAGTCAGGCTGCAGCGGCTGCAGCAGCAGCAGCCATGGGCTCCATAGCGAGTTCACAGGCCTTTGGCAATACCCTCTCCAGTCTGCAGGGGGTCACGGGTCAACTAGTTACTAATGCACAAGGACAGGTGAGTGGGAGTGGGAACAAGAGTGAATCTGTATGGCAGCTTGAACTCGGAAAAGAAATGAATTTCTTTTGCATGACAGTGATATGTAACAGCAGTCATTCATGGCAAATAAATAATGTTGACCAGCAATGTCAAGAAGAAGAGAAGGCTTGGGAGCTGTTTCTCTAAACAAAATTGTTCTTTTTTTTTCCTTCCCCTAGAATGTCTACTAAGTTTTATGTGGGTTTTATTTCTGTACGATGACTCATGTTATGACCTTAATTAAAGAAATTACTTTTCAGGACTGGGAGACACTTGCTAAGAAAAAATCAGTTACATTTTACAAGTAAGATTTTCTGTTTTGTTTTTAATTTTTTTCATTTTTTGGATACTTGGGTATTGGAGGAAACTGGTAAGTTTCCTTCCCTAATTGCTCTAAGATTTCTAATTAACCTTAAGAAAGCCATTTTCTGGGGGATCTTGCTGGTGGTCCAGTGGTTAAGACTCCATGCTTCCACTTCAGGGGGCAAGGGTTCAATCCCTGGATGGGAAACTAAACTATCATGTGGTGCACTGTGCAGCCAAAAAATAAAATAAAATTTTTAAAAATTAAAAAAGAAAAGAAAGTTAATTTCTGGATGTATGGGGAGGTGATGGGAAACAATTCAAGATGTCCTGTAAAGGAAACAAAGAAAAGGTGTGAATTAGAATAAAGCCAACTGTCAGTCAACACGTGCCCAGCCTCTTGCTGATTCTCCCAAGAGCTTAGTGGTCTCTTGCGTGCTTGTTGATTTACTTCAAGCTGCTGGGGCCAGTAAACCTTCCTCATGTCACCAGCAGGCCCGTCTGTTTCCTGCCACTGCACATGGGCCTGCATTGCGGCCACCAAGACTCTGACAGAACTTTAGATGGAAGTCGTCCCTCTTCAAGACCCCAATAAACCTGAAAGCTGCATGCAGAACAGAAGAGGGTGAAACCGATGGTGTCAGGGGTGCCCTCTCATTCAGAGGCCTGACACAGAGCCCGGCCTCGCTGCGTAGGGCATCTGGTTCTCAGACATTCCTGTGTCTGATGATGAAATGCAAGAGAGAAGCAGCTTTGCATCCTTGCTGATATTTTCTTCTCCCAGGGTTATTTTCCCAACAGCAAGGTTACTAACTCTCTGCTTGGCCTGCTCTGGGGGAACAGGAATTGTGATGTCTTGAACTTTGCTTTATTTTACATAAAGAGTAAACAGAGATGCATTATAAGCTAAACTGTCTCCAACTACAACCCAGGGGGGAAAAAAAAAGCTGACCTTGTTATATTTCCTGGGCGGGTGCAGGATTGTCCCGTCAGAACCCCGAGGCCTGAACGATGGAGCTTGTCAAAGAGCGGCCCCAGGTAATGAATCATCTTATCACAGGTGCACACCACACATATTAAAGGAGGGATGTATGAACACCATGCCCTCCACAGTCACCTTTCAATGTCAGCTTTAACCCTTGTTCCAATCCCTTTTCATCAAAGGATCATTTTATGCAGCCAGCTCTAAATGGAGGCTCTCGAAAGCCTATTAAGATTTCTGGAGGGATGGGGTATTAGTGTGGAGGAAAAGTTGGTTTTAATATCTATAACTCATACTCAGATCAGGTCCATCCCGGAAGCTGTTTCCTACAGTTGAGCCTAAAATAGAACACCCTGATGCTTTTCTGCCAGGCAACTGACTCTTGAAATGTAAATTTTGAAAGTCCAAGATAGACACCATAACCACTAACTTGTATTTGCCTCCGATTTCTCTTGTCTCCACGCCCAAGTAAAATCTACTATGCTCCACATCTTGAGTATTTGTGCTGGAGAAAATGCTTTAGTGTTGAGGAGGAATTATTAGGAGCTTATTCTTCTGATGATGTAATGGCTGATCTTTTTTGCTGGTTACAAACCTGCCTCCTTCTCAGGGACTCAAATTACAGTGTTTGCTTTTTGTACCCTTTGCCAGCTCTCATCCCAGGGATGGCTCTCCCAACCCATAAGTACTCCTAAGGAATTGGAATTCAAAGTTGAAGCTTGACTGGCACTCTGCATATATTGAATAAAAGTTTATTTTAACCACAATTTTTCTATCTTAGAAATTGTGTTAGGATGGGTGATTTGATGTGGTACACAAGCCTTCTAAAGTTAAAAAAACAAGACAACTTACAGAGAAATCAATTATGCCCACTTGTAAAGTCTTGCCTGAGTTTTAGACATGTCCCAATGTCGTCATGTCCTCCTCCCAGTGCAAGAAAAGACCAAGATGCTCTCATTTCCAAAGTAGTGAAACTGGCCACACTGATGCGGCACTGTGCCTTTTTTAATCTTTGTAATTTAAACACCATCATCTTCCCAGAAAAAGGTGCATGCCCTGCATCTCTTGGCATCAAGATATTCGGTTGAGCTTTATGAAGAAGTCAAATTATACTCCCAAAAAGGCAAATATTATTTGTTGTGTGTGTGTGTATACTCCTTTGGCTTCTGTTACTGTGGTCCAGAAGATAAGACTACTTTGGAATCAGGTGATTGCAATTGCCATGCTCAGACTGTCATGTTAACTAGGATTACAGTGTGCAGCCCATTTTCAGCTCCTTAAAAATCTCTATGGAACTTTTGCAGAAAAGATACAGAGAGAAAACTCTAAATATATTTAGAGATCCCTTCATTTGAGTTCTTGACATCAACTATTTTTTAAATGTGAAAGTTTATGTGGAAGTCATAACACTGAAATCTAAACGAAGTTAGAAAAGCATGTTTCACTCCACTGATAATTTGCTACAAGTGGGTCTGTTGAGGCACGCAGGGACCTTGTGTTATCAGAAATGCTCTAATCCTTGATCCCCACTGATGAGATTCTCTTGGTTCCCTGGAAGCCAATGTGGGATTACACAGTAGTTTAGAGTCCTGGCTGAATTCAGACCTACTTGCCTGAGAGTGGGTTTAGGCTCCACCTCTTTTTTGTCTTTTGACGTGAGAGTAATGATTTAATCTTTCCTCAACCGGATCCTCATCCTGTGAATTCTAACACAACCCCCGTGAGGCAGCCTGGGTCACTGGCTCCAGCTCAGAGGGCAGGAGGTCCTAGGTCTGCCTCCTTGGCTGGGCAGATGTCCACATAGGGAGACATTTCCCAGATCTTCCTTCAGTTTCTAGGCTTAGACCCAACAGGAAGACATCCTACTACCTGAGACTTGCAGTTTTGCTTCCCAGGCTTGGAATCTGACTATGTTTTCATTTACTGAATCTCAGTAAATTTAAAGGACATCTCAGTATAGTTAAGGATTTTTTAGTTGGTGTTTTTTTTTTCCCAAGTAGTAGTTTTGAAGCAAATATGGAGGGAAAACCTCAGATATTTCATACCCTTCTAACCCCGCCATTCATTAGCAGTTAATTCAGAAGTCAGACACTGGTCCAAAGAGTGCATAATTCTAACAAAATACTTCATTCTTTTCTTTACATTTTAAATTCATTCATTCATTTATTCACTTGGCTGCTCCAGCTCTTAGTTGTGACACAGAGGATTTTTGGTTGCAGCATATGGGATCTAATACTTTGACCAGGACCAAACTCAGGCCCCCTGCATTGGGAATGCAGAGTCTTAGCCATTGGAACACCGGGGAAGTCCCTAAAAAAACTACTACATTCTAAATTCAAAAAGCACATATCTTACCCAGGGATGTTAACGTATTTTAAATTATATCACATACAACTTCACTGTGGGGTGGGAAGGTACCAAGTGTCTTGATGATAATTAGTGATAATGAACTTGACAATGGCTGTCACAGTGCTGAGAAGAACATTTTGGTTCCTTCTGTTTCCATGCAAGTGGGGAAGGTAGGCAATAGAAAGAATGCTAGCTATAGGCTCATTTGAGTCCAAAGTCAGTCAGTTACTAGCTCTGTGACCCTAGGCAAATTACCTGATCTCTCTCTGGCCTCAGTTTTATTTTAAAATAAAAATAATCAAAACTAAGCCCCTAGATTATGAAGTTTTATGAGACGTGTGTGAAAAAAAACCTACTATAGCACCTCAGTATGCCATTAAAGACTCAATAAATGATTATCATAATGTTTGTCATCATTTAGAGTTTGTCTAACATTTTTTGGAATGTTTCTTTGGTCCAGATATGCAGCAGAGGCAGTGCGGTGCTCAGAACAGACTCTGTAACTAGACTGCCATTCACCAGCTGTGAGACCCTGGGCAATTGATTTACTCTCTCTGTGCCTCAGTTTCTGCATCTGAAAAATGGGGATTAATATGGCACCAGCTTCTAGGACTAAAGGGCTTAGAACAGGGTCAGGCACATAATGATCATTCAATAATACCATCATTCAATAAATGCTACCTATTAGGATTAATCAAGGAGCTGTGTTTTTGGTTTATAACTGTGCACTGGTTCATAATTCTGCAGTGTCTGAGGAGTTTGAGAATGTGAAAATCTTAATAGTAGGACATTAATTTCCTTTAGAGAAATGCCATCCCTACCCTGGATAGTTCAATAGGGATATGTGTGTGTGTGTGTGTGTGTGTGTGTGTGTGTGTTCCTAACACTTATTCAGTGGGTCTGTTCAGGATTTGGCAAGTAGATTTACCATCGATTTGTTCAGCTATAGAATTGGTTTCCCTCAGGCCCCCGGCAATATCTCCTTATTGGCATTATTGCAGAAAAGTAAAAGCAAATGAAATTTCATTTTATCCTGGGGCTAAAGAAAGCATTTTACATTTTAACTGAAGCTTAGAATGTTTCCTGATGAAATTAGTTCTCGACCACTGTGAAATTTTCTTAAGTGGCAGCAAGGCAAGTCAAAAACCCTCCCTTCAGTCTTTAAAGAGCCAGTCAAGTGAAAAAAAATCGACTAAACAATATTACTCTTTTATATATATAAAGAAGAAAAATTTAAAGGACTTACCCATTCAGGTTAACAGAATACACAGCATCCTGTGAATAAACGATGGCTGAGCAGAGCTGCTTTGGCGAGAAGGAAGGGTGTGCTTCCTAAGTGACCTCA